TATTTACATTACTGCAAACCCTCTTACTTGCTTTATTTCCTCATTACATTTACTGCACAACTTTGCGAATACGCTTTCAAGTTAAGCACTTCCGGTTCCGATTTTTATCGTACGAAAGATTTGTCGAAACCAACGTTTTAAGCCACTGCACTAATTCACCCCCCCCCCTCTTAGTGCCGCTCCGATCCTAACAAGTACATGAATAACAACCTTCCTTAAATGTGGTGTATCACCTCCAAATTGTAGCCACACCTCCAAATTGTAGCCACCACTAGACTGTAAGAAGATATAAATAAAATTTTATTAACATAATAAATAATTAATATTAAATATAATTGATAATCAATATATGTAACTTTTTCTCACCAGGATCCATAGTGTAATGACACGATACAACTATAACGTCGGATAATGAACCAACTATTTCTTTAAATAATTGACCATCCATAAGAGCATCGGTTGCATCAGTAGTGTTTGGCAAGAGCCGATATATAATATTTCGTAGTATTCTTAGTAAATCATTTTACGTTCTGAGAGCATACTGATATTGAATTGTCGAGTTTAGATAATATACTACAAGACATAATTTTATTAGTGTGATTTTTTATTATCTAAAAATAATAAATTAAATTATTCTGAATATAAATTTACTTGCATTATGAATATCTTCATCCACATGAACTTCGGTCCGACGATCAATGATCCGTACGTATTGGTTGGCCTTAAAATCATATTTGAATACTTTTATGACCTTCTCTCTTGCTAAAATCAACATATATTTAAGATACAGTATCTATAGATGCTTGTCCATATCAACCTTACAGAGAATAATATAAAGTGGCTCCACACCTTTTATGATTTTTGTCGTGGTCTCTCAAAATCTATAGGAAAGAATAGACTTTTCTATCTTCTTTCCATCACTCAATCTCGAATATCTAGAATCAGACCACTCTTGTGAGGTGACCATTGCCTTCAAGCTATGTCTTTTTTATTATAATAATTTTAATATAATAAAATTGGTAGTAAACTAAGTACTTCTAGGTCATAGTATCTTACCTATGTATTTTATATTAAAGTATGGACCAAATGATGATTATATATAACTTTGTAATTGATTGTACTCGAGCTATACAATTCTTGATCGCGTCTAGCTCACCAATATCCTTCGGTATTATATCTATGCAATGAGTTGCACATGGAGTCCAAAACAAAGTTTTTCTTTTTTCCTTCAATTGTAAACTAGCCTTCTTGAAATTCACTCTATTATCGGTTATTATTTGGACAATATCTCCTCTACTATAGTATTCATCAAGCTCTCAATGTAGTTTACATCTTGGATCTTTTTAGAAGCATTAATTGACTTATAAAATACCACTCTTCTGTTGCAATAAATAAGAAAGTTAATACTCATTCTTGTTGGTCATATCCAACTGTCACACATCAGTGTCACCTCATATTTGTCTTATTGCCTCTTGAAGGATTTGATCCAATCCTTCAGTTCTGCCACCTCCTCATCTAAGTACATATCGTAAATCTCTCTCGGTGTTAGAGGTTGGATCCCCGTGCTAGATTTTTAAATAGAAGAGACCATGCTCTAATAATATGGACCTTAGGTTATGTTGGCTGGAATCCTGTGGAAGTTGAACCATTTTGAAATTGTCTTCCCAATATCCAACTTCTTTTCTTTTGTGTATACATCGTCAATTCGTGTTTGTTTCACTGTTTGTGGGGGATAGGCTTGTGGATTAATATCAACAATATCTGGTGCGGACCTCCTACCAAGACTTCTCATAAAACCACAAAGTCTACCATACCTTATACTATTAATTCAGCCTAACTAATGAGGAGCAGTTGGCTGCCTCATATTGGTCGACCTCTGAATTCCACTACCATTATCATGCTCCAATTGTGAATTAGGTCGTCGATGCCTCATTGCTTTATCGATCATATACTGATGCTCCAATGATGCATAAATCCCAGTTGTGAGATCCGAGTTAACTTGATCATCGTAACCCTCATAATGATCATAAACGGGTTCCTGCGTAGCCCTATAATATTCTTCCTCAACCCTTGCCGTCTTTTTTAATATATTTTTCTTTATTTGTTGTAGCTTGCTTTGAAATAATTTACGGATCTCTATCGAAACTTTCTTGCATTTTGCAACATCAGGATGCCCATTGACCAAATGCATATTCACCCAAGTTATTCCTCTACCCTTGCCAAGATAGTCACAATAAATTATATCACCAATGATAATAGTTCTCATCTATCTTTCAACTCATGCATCATCATGTGGTTGTTCTTTTGCTGTCATGATCTTACCAAATTTAAATTAAATAAGCTATAAAGTATAAACATATTGAATTGATCAAATATCGATAAAAAATCACTAATCACAGTATTAAATAATTTTATTAAAACATAATTAATTATATTTTATCATCATAAATATGTTCCATACACATTAAATATATAATTTTGATCCTGGGTGATAAAATCATCATTATATACACTAATCACCTGATTAATTACCTATTAATTAATTCTCTTTCAATACTATAAACATGTCAAACACGGTATTAAAGATATTAAATTGATCTAAAATCAATCAAATTTTGATTAAATCATTATTAAAATAACTAATTATAGTATTAAATAACTTTAATAAAATATAATTAAAACTATTTTACCATCATAACTATGTCAAATAAATTATTAAATATATAATTTTGATCTAATATAATTTAAATTATGATGAAATCATCATTATATATACTAATTATATGATTAATATAATTAATTATCCATTAATTATTTCTCTTTCAACAGACAAATACCTGTTGAAAAATACCCTAATAGGTATTAAAAACATTCTAAATGATATACCTTGGTTCTAATAGCAATCAAACTGTCGTAAACAAATAGTCAAAACCCTTGATTTGAAAAAGGTATTCTTCGTTTCCTTTTAAGCTTATTAAGAAGGTCGGAGAGGATTTGATAGATAATGACAAACAGGTAAGAGACTGGATCATCTTATCTGAAATGAAATCATTCAAAAGTTCTACCATTGATATGGTAAGAAAAATAAAATGAAGAAATCCAAGCCACGATAAAATTGATGCGAGAGGTAAGGCTGGTTTAATAGCATCTCAAGAAGCTCTATTGAGGTTGCCTTTTTTCTTTTTTTGTCGAGATTCACGAAAAGCATCGCATGCGAAGACGTGCATCACATCACCATCAGAGTGTATCCGAATGACATGTACATGTTTGCAAATCTTAAAGCGATGCGTATCAATGAAGACCGGTGAATGCCGCAGTTAATCGATTACCTCCAAAGACCAGCATTGTGGCTTATGCTATACAACCACTGCAACTTAGGGGATGGGATGGGATCGACGTGGGAGCAGTTGCAGGCAGCCGCAGAGGGCAGATGATGATCCACCTGCTTCATATGTCGTATGTTTGACTTCTGCTCCCCAACACAAACTGCCCCGCCCATGCCTGTTGGTCAACCGGTCCTTTTGTTTTCTTGTTTCACGGAAAGTTTCAACCCACGTAAAAGAAATCCACCCCCACATTCCCATCCTTTTTCCTCACTCCCATGCAACAATGGCGCACGTACTTGCACCATAAGAGCATGCCACTTTAGGACAGCGGTGTGGGGCTGACTGATTTATGTTGTTGGAGAAGGAAGCGTCTGATTAGGTGCGAGAAGTTAATTACATCCGACTCCTGCCTTGCCATAGTGTGGTGGTTGCTTGGTGGAGAAGAGTCAGTAAACCCTACCCCACTGCTGTGGTTTAGGACGATGCTGCACATACAGGGAAACCCATCATGCCATCCAAGACCGCCATTCTACTGATTCAATGACCTCATCAACTTTTCCATGACAATGAGATGATCCTGAGGCACACATGAACGACGTTGATGCATTAGTTGAATGGCCTATCAAATCATACCTTTTAGTGGTTGACCCCTGCATTAGTTAAATTGCCATTCTTGACTCTCCACCAAGACAACGCATGCAGCCAGAAATCCAATCTTATCAGAACACCACAATTTAAGAACATGGAAAGGTCATTGTAGAGGTTGAAGAGCAGCAGTAATTCTGTGTGGCTTCCAACGTTAAAAGGCCACATTCTGTGTCACTCTTCTCTCACACCAACTTATGATGCAGACGGAGGAGCCGGATGAGGCAGAGATCAACTGGCTCGACTCTTCTGCAGGGGAGCTGATGAGGGAGCTCCTGGAGGAGGAGGATGATGATGAGACGAGCGCTACCTTCATCTCCCACGAATCGTCCATCGTCAACAAGCTCATCTCCACTGTCTACTCCGGTCCGACGATCCGCGACGTGGAAAGTGCACTCTCCACGACCCTTGGAGCTGGGGATTCCAGTTGCAGGTGCTCAGAATCGGAACCTGATAGTGTTTCCCATGTCTAATGAGGCATCGACCTGATGCAATCTCCTGTAGGGTTTCTGTGCCGGAGAAGAGCACGGGGAAGATGGACAGCAAGTACACACTTCGGATGAAGATATGTGGGAATGGGGTCGCCGATGATGGTTATAAGTGGAGGAAGTATGGCCAGAAATCCATCAAGAACAGTCCTAATCCGAGGTAGGTGTTCTCGCATGTCATAAGAACTTGCTGGCTTCTGTTCTGCTATTTACCTTTAAATCTAAATGGTACCGTCACGATGAGATAACATAGAGAGTATCTGTCGAGAAATAATATACTGTTTGAAGCTCTACAATACTCTGATCAGCTACTCTCTCACCTGCTATCCGTTGTCCCAATTCCTCCATCATCAGGTGATTAATATCCATGACAGTGTGAAGAATGAAAGAAAGAAACAACTGTTTCAGCATCAGCTTCGAGTAGTTTGCATAAAGTCCATTCTATAAGAGCTCCATTTCTTGAGAGATCCAAATGCTTCCATTACTGTAATGGCAGACATGTCCCTACCACCCAAATCCGTGACATTTCCAGAATGTAATTAGGGTTCTTCTGCCAGGTTTCAATCCTCATCTAAAACAAGAAAAACCATCCTCTTCACCTACGCTTCTCACTGATTCCACCAGATCATTTAAACTTGCACCTTCCACCACTGACTGATGTATGTGTAATAGTACCACAAGTAACTCCAACATGAACAAAAAAGCATCATCTCACCATCTAAATGCTTCGTTTCCTGTTATTAAGTCTGCAACCCACCCCATTCCATACACGGTCATGTTTCTAGTTCCAGCAAAAGGAATATGAATCATTGTATCTGCTTTGCCACACCATGAACACTGTAATTAATGTTCAACTGCTCCAAGCTTTAGTCCGATAACCTGCTTCCAGGTATGATATGCATATCCATGCAAGAATTGAAAGCCTTACCCCAAAGCAAACTCATAACTTAAAGAGTAATCTGGATGATGACTTGAACTGACAGCAGCAATCATCTAATCTGCTATATTGGAGCACAGGAGTTACTACAGGTGCACAAACCCAAGGTGCAATGCCAAGAAGCAAGTGGAGAGGTCCTTGGAAGATCCAGAGACGCTCATTGTAACCTATGAAGGTCTCCACCTCCACTACACCTCACACTTCCTCCTGCCTCGGCCCCAGGATCTCTTCACTGCTGCCTGTCATGCTGCAAAGAAGCCAAAACTCCAATCCACTGACCTTCATGCTGAGGTGCCAGATTGTGTTCCACCGGAACCTACGGTGCACAGCCCATCCATGTTGTTGATGCAGCAATCACAGGCTGAAGCACAAAGCCTGGTGGAAGGACTTGATCAGAGCAAAGACACCACAGATGACAGTTTGCGGCATGGGCTCGATGAGGATGTCATGCAGAGATCACAAGGCCTGCTGGAAGATATTGTGCCTTTGCTGGTAAGAAAGCCATGCAACTCAACCATCTACTCATATGGCAACAATCTCTTGTCACATGAATCTCCTCCATCTTCTTCTACCATTTCTTGGAGCCCCAGCTCTCCCTGCCTTGATGTGGGTATATTTTCCAGCATCTTGTGAGTATCACATTAGTAGATGCAAGGATAAAGCCAAGAATCAAGTGACAATGAGGTAGAGGAAGCACTATACCCCTATCTCTGCAGATTACCATCGAGAACTGAGAGTGTAAAATGTGGTTACTCCAGATCTCACTTAAGATGTTGATGTAAATCACTAAATGTATTATGTATCCTACAGGAATTCCAATATGCATTATATAATGGTTTTAGACAAAGCACATCACGAGCTAATGAACATCATGCAGATTCCGACAATGAAAATACTTATCACACAGAGGTTGCTGACTGCTTAGAGGCTTGAAAAGTTCAACAACTCGTATAGGATCCAGATTTTTCAGTATTGAAGTAGAAACTCCATCAAATACTTCGCACATATTACAATTGAGAACCAAGAATGGAAAATATGATTACTCCAGATCTCATTTAGGATGTCACCAATGAGACATAGGATATCAGAATGTTGTTTAAGTTTAATGCAAATCACCAGATGTATTTGTGTCTACAGGAATTCAAATATGCATTATTATAATGGTTTTATACAAGCACATCCCGAGCTAATGAACATCAGACAGATCCCAAAAATGAAATTTTTTTCCACACAGATCTTGCTGACTGCTAGGAAACTTGAATAGTTCAACAAATTCTGTAAGTTCCGGAATTTTAGCTATTGGAGTAGTAACTCCGAATACTTTTCTGCAGAAATGGATACAGGATGACCTTTGTTCAGAGCATAATACCATGAGTTGATTTGGACAAACTAGATGTTTGATTGCATTAGATCAATGTGTTCCCCAACAATTTATGATGGTGTTTAATGCATCAATTCATGTATATAACACCTGAAATCCATCCTATAGGATTGAATATGGGTTTGTGATGCAATTAGAAAAGACAGCATCTGACCAATTTCTTTGTTCATTATAGTGAAAGATTATTAACTCAAACATGCAAATGTAATCGGCCACTATTGTAGTTGATGATCTGGGGTAAAAGAACAAGTGACAGGGAAGCACCCTTTAACATTAACATTCGGCTTAAGTCTTGGATTGTAATTTTTTACTGCTTATGATCATTGACATAGTGAAAGGTACAATAATCAACTTTGTTCAGATTTTCTGAAACCCATTTTTACATGCATGAGTTCAAGCCCCATGATGCACGATAGTACAATCTGGTACCTGTTAACCAATGTGCATTAATTATCTCATATGCCAATCAATCTAATGCTTTTTTTGTCTCAAATGGCAAATAAGATCTTAATGAGTTAAATCAAATTATCCTTAGGTTTGTCACAGCAATGCATGAAGGTGATAACCCCAACAAAGATATCCTGTCATGCTTCCCATGACTCTGACAAAATCATCTCATAACCAAATTCTTCTTCCCATGGATTTTTTTTTGTTTCTAACCTCTCAGAAATGGTCTTTGCACATCTTAATCAAATATTAACATAATTTTATACAGTATGCATCTAGGTTGCTATTAACAAAGCCTCAGCTTAGACATACATTGGAGTATGTCTTCTTGAATTTGGCATTAATCCTCATACAGAAAAAGTGCATTCGAATTATTAAAAACCATAGAAGTCAACATGTCACCTTTGGAAACCTACAAGTGCCATCTAATCACCTAAAGTTGGGAACATAACCAAATCCATGCCCTCACCTTATCCATTTCAAACAGAATCCGCGTCCAGCACCGCGGAAATAACATACATACCGAGCCCATAGCATTATGCCCAAATAAATTTAATTTTGCAATCTATATTTCCATATACTGAAGATAAAGAGGCAGATAACGGTTGATGTATGTATACTGAAGTATACAACTGCTAACTGCCGAGTTATCTTTCATGATAAATGACAAAAAAGAAACAAATTCGACCATTTATGTGTTTAAACAACAAGGAATCTAACTTTTCACTGGTTAGCACAGTGTTAATGAAGCAGAAGCTATCCTCTGAATTACATATGGACTAACAAAAAGAAACTCTGACATGCACCAATAGAGTCCCTGGTAGTTGCAGGACTTTGAATGAGGAACAAGACCATGAAAGAATGGACATTTTGACTCAAATGTGCCATGTGACTTCTTATCACACCTTACCACACCTTAACATTTGAAGAAGATGTGTGTTTGTCCAGTATGTAGCAAAAATGACAAGAAATGAAGATAAAAATATTTGATGCGAGTTGGAGAATGTACTCAGAGAGAAAGAAATTCCAAAGAAAGTTTCTTGGTTGCAAGTGTAGCAGCTGTGACAATTGTTAACCAGTCACAAACCCTCCTAGGAGAAGCGGTCTGAGTTTTATATAAGTATTGGGAAATGATGTAAATAGCTAAAGCTTATAAGTGCATGTGGGAGTGGAAGCATTGACCCTGTAAAGGAGGTATCTTCTGAGACTGACTTATATAGTAAGCCGTCAAACATTAAAAAGATGACTAATGATAATGATTCACACAATGTTGTCCAAAGATTTAAATACTTGAGTAGTTTGCATGATCTCAGGGCAATGATAGTTTTAGGATCACCAAGGTTTAATACAAGAGACCATCAACCACATCTCAACTAGAAAGAGCAAAATTTCAATTGAGAGAACCAAGCAAATGTCATAGACTAAATTACAAGTCAATAAACAAAAGGGATTAGCCTATATCTGACCTTGTTCATGTACTCTGTATACCTTTCTCCGAAGGACTCCACCATCAACGCTTCCTCAAACTCTGCCTTCCGCCCGTAGTAGACCAGACAAACAGCAACGAGGAACAGCAAACTGAGCGGCGCCCGCAGGGTGATGCAATGCAGTGAGAACAGCAGCATCGTCGAAGCATAGATGGGATGACGCACCCACCTGTAGGGGCCGAACTGCACCACCGCCGTCGGCACCACCACCTTCTCTGAGTAATTCGCCAGATAGAGAACCGAGTGGTACCGCATGAAGAGCGTCACCGCGACCAGAGCCCAGACACCCGCATTGGCCCACCCGCCGGATATCATGTGCAGCTCAGGCCCCTCGTACGCCGCAAGCCAATGACCGACCAACACGAGGACCGCGAAGCCGACCTGGAAAGGGCCGGGGAGGCGGACGTCCCACTTGGTGTCGTGCGGGCGAGCGTAGAGGTCACCGTAGAGGCGTCGGCGGACGGACGACTCGAAGAAGAAGAAGTAGTGGTAAACGAAGAAGAGGACAACGGGCCAGCCTTCGAGAAAACCATTGAAGTGGGCCGGGGGTACGACCGTGAGCCAGGCGACGGCGGCGGTAACGACGGCGAGCTGCTCGAGGATGGAAGCGCGGCCGAGGGAGTGCTTGCGGAAGCAGAGGAGGCCATAGGCGGCGAGGGCAGCGGCGGAGATCCAGGGCCAGAAGATCCAGGTCCAGCTAAAATAGGTCCAGAAGAAGGGGTTGAGCACGAGAGAAACGGCCTTCTTGACGGCGGCGATGGCGATGGCGAGGACCGCGGACCACTTGCAGACTGCGAGAGGGGTAACACGGTCGAGGTCGAGGTCGAAGGGAGGCAGCGGGAGAGAGGAGGTTTTGGAGAGGGCTTGGGGAGGGAGGGCAAGGTGTTTGTGGTTGGGTCCGAGAGAGAGGGTGAGCGATGGGAACTTGTACGGGAGGGGAGAGTTGGGAGAGAGGGCGAGGGAAGGGCGGAGGAGGGAGAAGAGGGGTCGGGGTTTGGGCCGGGGAGGAGAAGGGAGGGGAGGAGGGAAGTGGAGGAAGCGAGCGGTAGTTCCCATCGGGTAAGACGAGACCGAGCTGGGGAGAGAACTCGGGACTCCAAACCAGCTTATCCTCCTCGTCTCCGCCACACGAACCACGCACGCGTGCGTGTAGGGTTTTAACCTGGTTCGACTCGACCCGTAACTGTCAATTAAGTTTCTCATCTTAGTACCTTAAAATTAAAATGATTCGAGAGCCTCAATGATTGGGCGGCCGCATATGTACATCTATGCGTACCTCTGTCTGCATGTACGCTTGTAAGTCATCGGCCCCATCAATTAAACCAACAAGAACGAGGATACGTTGACTGTTACAAAGACTAGCTTGTAGCAATGCAAGAAACAATTCACACTAGAAGACCACATCCGCGTGCTGCTGCCATCAAGACGCAGTAGTACAATGTGCTGCAGAACAATGCAGGGAGCGGAGTGGCTGACACAGGAAGGAGGAGACGCAGAAGCTTTGGACAACGATGGACTCATCAGACAAAGTACTACATGTAATAAGCTGGTGGATAAGCTTTCACCAGATGTGGCAGAACTCTGAACTTAAAATGGCTACTTCATTTGATTGTTAATTTCGATAGTTCAAATACATAAAATTCTTGGAAACCCACAAACGTATTCTTTGTTGTGTTTGTTGGCTGCAAACCAGAAGATTTCAGTACCCTCTTGTTGTTGTCGGCAGCTCCTAACATCACTTCCTTTGCAGTCCAAAATTTTCATTGACTTCTTTGCCAACAAATGCCGATCTCTGGTACAGAAGTCCGGTCCCATCTGCCTGCATCACGCAAGCCAAAGATTATATGATTAGTCAACATGTTGATATTTAGAATACATGATGACAAGAGAAACCTGATTACAGATAGATAGATGTACCTCATCAGAGATTGGTTAGATGAATCAGGACCAATTGCCTGGAAGCATGTTTAACTTTTACGGCAATGACCGAAAGGTTACACTAAGCTTCAGTAGGCTTCCATGCGGATATGGCGTAAGTGATCCTTCCCTTCCATCCCTGAATCAACCATCGGCTATCTTCATCGATAACGAAATCCTTGTGATAGCAGCTCTTCACCTTATCATTGGCTTTCTTCATGATGTCGGGGTCCAGCGGAAGCTGCACAAACCCAGCCCTGAGGTTCCTGACCTGCCACTGCTTGTATGTCTCAGGTCTCTCGACCCTTTCTGAGCCTTCACATGCTATAACATTAAGAGCCTCCCTTCCAAAGAGATCCTTCTCGATCAATAACCTTTGTTCATCGTCGCGCGGCACATTCGTTTCAAGCATGTCAAACAAAGCAGAGAAGTGGAAGAGAGCCTCTCGGAAGCGTGTTACAAAGAAGGGGGCACTGTATGATCCATTTACGACTCCATGGATGAAAGCATCTGGGTTCATCTTCCTAATTGTGTTGAGGACCCGATTCCTGGGACTATCCACAATGACAGTCTCATCAATGAGATTCCTGAAGCGGTACAAACAGTTGACCACCACAACCTCATCTTTAGCAATGTGAAGATCCTCAACCCGAATGCTCTCCCATTTAGAGGCAATGGCCTGATACTCGAAAGGAACATTAAAACCTTTTGCATAAGCTGCCAGCCTTTGCCCTGTCTCTTCAATTCTCTCTGTGGGACGGAAACCTGGCTGAGGCACATCGATACCAGTTATTCGCAATTTTGGTGGGCCACCCTCCCTAGTGGCGAGACGCTGGATAAGGCATGGCCACTGAAACCCAAAATAGATGCCAAAATCAATGATATGAACCTTTGATGCCTTCTCTGCCAGATTAAGTATCGTCTGATTAGAGAAAAAATGTGAAATCCTCTTGAAAGGACATGCTGCAAGATACAAATGATAAGCCTTCAATATATCGGTTGCGGTGGTCCTCTTTGCCACAAGAGCCTGATAGATCTGACTTCCCATGCCAGCTAAGCGAGCCTCAAGACCGTCCGCAAAGCAATGTGCCAACCTCTGAGACCCATCTCCATTAGGTGAAGAGTGCTGTCTAATTTGCTTCAGCAGTTCATTAGCGGTTCGCCTGTCGTCAACTGCCACAGCTTGCGCACACAGGATGAGAAGAGTTCTGAGATCCACCACCTCTTTCTTTGTTTGCTTCTTTCGTCGTGTCTTGCCACCACTTGAACCCTTTGTTGGAACATTCTGGGCACTTTTGCTTGCCTCATTCTGCATTGCTTCCCGTAGATCAGACATCTTCTTAGAGCATTTATCTCCCTGATAAAGCAAAACCATGTCAAACATTTCAGACCTGACTTCTCCATCAGATGAAACAGCCGACTGTTTATTGTTCCTCCCCTCTGTCAAATCCAAGTCCTCCCTGTTTGGATTCTTCCGAACTCTGGAACCATTTGACGAAATTGTTTTCTCCACCTTCCCCTTGCTATTGCACAGTTTACCATCTCTTTTTGGTATCTGAACCGATGAAACACCATTAGACTCTAAGTTGATAAACAATTTATCATTGCTGGGAAGGAACTTGCGTGCTTCTTCGACTCCTCTCTTGAAATGCCAGGTCGGCATGCTTCCGAAAAACAAATTAGGAGATATGGTCACATTATTAAACGGCTCCTCTATGCTACTGATGCTGTTATAGGAGCTAGATGGAGTCTGAGGTGAATAATCAACAGAACCCGGGCAAGTGAGTGACTGTTGGTAATCCGAAGAATCACAGACGGAGCTATTGTCTGCAACCCTGCTGCTACTACTGGCACCACCTCTATAGAGATTCCCATACCGATCATTGCTTGTCTCATCAGGGCTCCCTGAACAATGGTGACCATCGAACAGTGGCCGATCAGGGGATGGTGGGTACTTTTGGCCAAGGATGTCATAGAAGGGTTTCACCGCAGCTCGAAGGGCTGAGTCTTCTTTGTAAGTACTAACCTTCTCATCTATATCCTCCTCCAGAAGCATTCGGCTTATGTAGTTTAGGGCGATGTCCGAGTAGAAGATATCACTATCTTCTGGATTATCACCCTCGACACTTGTGCTAATGGATGTGGGATAGCTACTTTGGTTGGTCAGGGAAGACATTTGTGCCAAGTCTACATAGTTAACATGCCCTAGAAAGGGCTGCGACTCTCCTAACCCAATAGCCCGGAAAATGTTTTGATCGGAATAGAAATCATCATAACTCAGTCCGCTCATCATGCCGGACAATTCACGGAGGCCAGAATCCATAACCATTGAACCAGATATCTTCTACACTACCTAAATTTAGATCAAGATAAACCCTAAGTAATCACCTGGTACTAACCCTTCTTACAGTCCAGCAACCAGAATAAGATCTACAAATCCTAATTTCTCGTCAAGGGTTATACGAAGAACCAGAGTTCGGTGAAATGCTGGTGGAATGCCACCAGTTGATTCCGGATAGCTGCCAATCTCTAACTTTTACGGAACTAAAGCTACCACAGACTTAATTTGACACGAATCAAAATCTGCAGTTCTACGAAATAAGATCTTTAACATGAACAGCGAAGCAGTCAAAGAAAAAGGATCAATCAAAACACAAACAACAGGATGGAGGTATATATCGAGGAAGACAGAAAATATGTAAGAAACGAAGTGTTCAGCCCTATATCCTCATGAACTGATTTCATCCACCATCAAGAACCATGGAACGATCCAAAGAAGGCAACTTTACGATCAAGGAAAGAGTCAGACCAGACGGAAACAAAGGTTGGCGGCCCCAAATCCGGCCGCGGAGCAAGAGGAGGCAGAGACAGAGGCGGCAGAGGCTTGCCTTATCAAAATCCTGCTACGGTGGGAGGCAAAAGAAAAGGCGAAGCAGAGGGAGAGGGAGATGGAGTTGGAAAGGGTGGCCGAGCTCGAGAAATAGTGGTCTGCTTGCCTTGCCTTTTGGTCCACCTTCTTCTTGTCTGCGATGTAATTTATTGCTTCCCGCACGAAGGCAAACAGTTAAAGGTAATAATATATTTTATTGTTGTTATTATTATTATTATTATTATTAAGAAAATAAATCCCGAGGAATCTAATCGGGAGTTGCATACCGAAACGTGGGCGACACAGAGCCGTCTGATGGTGATTCACCGGCTGCTGCCCGCTGTTCCACGATTCCCGGTTTGCGGCCAATGGATTTGCATTAAAGGAGATTGTTTCCATCCTCGTCATCACTTACCCGCCCCGCGGACCTGCACTGTGATTCGACAGAATGAGAGACTGACGAGGGGGCCACCAGATCCGGGGAGCAGGAGAACGGGACACGTGACGAAGAAGCGTTGCCTTTTCAGTGACGCCGGGGACACACGGGGAGTCGGCGAGGTGGTGCGTTTGGCCATCTCGTCGTGGACGCAGGGGTCGACCTCGGTCTCCGCGGCACGAGGGCGCGGCCACCGTTGGCCACGTGTCCTGGCGTATGGGATGACGACCCGATGGTGGGTGGCGTGGGATCCGCAGCGCCGGTGTGCGGAGGTCAAGACGGTTCGACCGATCTCCCAAACGCAACACGTGGCCCCGGCGTGAACGACGTATAGAACCGCGGTACTGCACGTGGAGCTACGCATTCCTCATAGCGAATGACTCCCCCGTCGGAGGCGTGGGCGACACAGACTCCATCCAATCAACGTACTGGTACTCGCGTGGGTGAAATCGCTATTCGATATATGCATATGCACACACAATTTGGTAATGGAAACCGATAAAATGCATTATAAGATTGACCCCACAGAGCCGCAAAAGGACGACAAAAAAAAAGGGGTCCACATGAAACTGATGTAGGTTTCAACGTATCCATGGGGTGCACACACATTATGTGTGATGGGAACCACTCGAGCGTCGTCTTGGGTAATTATCATCAGGAGAAAGGGATGGGGTTGTTGACTCTTGGTAATTATAATTGGAGATGAAGATACAAACCTAATTGGACCAAATTTTTGACACCGGATTTGGAGTATGCATTGTGATCCAACGCATCTGGGTTGGCATGACACCCTCATAAAGGGTTGGCCCCCGATAAGACATATCTTAGGAACTTATCACTTTTCACAATCACATTAGCATCTAAGACAATACGTCTCGATCAACACTATTCCTGCATCATAAGGGCAGCTAGCGAAGTACAGTGCTGTCCCAAAAAGGTCAGGACAACGTCGAGCAAGTACCACACCGACCGACAAAGGCCGGGACAACGCCCACCCAACATAATTCCCCTTAATGCAACGTCGTCCCGCCAAGGCTAGGATGGCACCAACCAAGTACAACGTCGTCCCACAAAGGTGGGGATGACACCGACCATTCACAGCACCATCCTGCAAAGCCCGAGGCTACGTCGACCGTGCACAACGTCGACCCACAAAGGTCGGGACGATGCCAACCAAGTACAGCACCGACAGTGATAAACAGCCTAGGTATGATCGATTCCCACAAAGGAAAGATAATAATCACTCGAGGGATCCATCGATAGGAGGTCCCTCTCTAGCCACTCCAGATTAATAAGATCTTAAGAGGGATCAAGGTCGGAAGCCCCTTCCCGACCCCGACTTGTGTGTAAGAATCGGAGCCCGAGGAGCATGTTGTCACGGACAAACTTTGAAACAGGATGTTTGATGTAATGCTTATATCTGTCCGTGTCTGTTGGCATGTTCATGCCTTGTACAGCGTGTAGAGGGGCAGCCGAAGGCTTATAAGTCCCATTTTAGTTGGGTTGGTGGCCTCTTTAGGCTTGTAAATAAAGGTTGTGTCATGTGGACACGTGCGAGAGCTTTTCGGTCTGTAATAGACCATTTTACCCTTTGTTGTGCCACTGTTCAGAGCTTGTAAAGTCTGTTTGTAATTTGCATTGTCTATGAAGTATTTTTTCGGACATGTTTGCTTGTGGATCCCGATTGAGGCGTTCTCTC